TGAGCTCTTCAGCTCAAGGCGAGCACTCTACCTCTTGAGCCACAGTGACACTTCCAGTTTTCTAGTGCTTTATTGGAGATAAGAGTCTTATAGATGTTCCTGCCCGGGCTGGCTTTGAACTGTGATCCTCAGATCTCAGCCTCCTGAGAAGCTAGGATTACAGGCGTGAGCCACCAGCGCCCGGCTTTAATTTTTTAATTATGTGTTTACTATCTTTAGTTGTACAAAGGAGTTGCCATTCAACAAAGCAGTTTATGAATAAATGCATTTTGATCAATGTTACCCCTTCCCTCATTTTCCTTCATCCCTCCCAACCCTATGTATCCCCTCCATTTTTTAATTTTGTAGGATATGTTGAATTTTATGACTGCTAAGAGTCAATTCAGTATTGATCACACAGTATACTCAGTTCTAAATATAGTTCAATGTTTAATTAGAGTACTCTACCAGATGAAAGTTCTAAAATGGGAATTAATTTTAGATAGCTGATGTGATGCACAATTATAATTACCTATGTTTCTCATAATAACTGGCTGCCAGAATTGAATCCCATGAAGATTTGCCTTTATGTTCCTAACTTAATTGCTACATTTTTTAGTTTTCCTTTATCCATACAATTGTAGGAAGTACAAGACAATAATGGGTTGGTTGTTGAATATCTAATATGCAAGATATATTAGAAATATACAAGACATATTTGTGCTGCTACTTCAGCTTGAACTGAGGGCTTCACGTGCTCTTGCTCAGCTTTTTCCACTTGAGGCTAGAATTCTACCACTTGAGCCACACCTGTACTTCCATTCCTTACTTTTGGATAAGCCTAACCTTCTCAAAGACTAGTTTTTAATTTCAGAGTTTTAGCTATGAATGCAGCTGAGAAATATAGCCCTCATCTGGAAATTTTCTGCAATATAAATATTCATAATTTATGTATTTAACAAAACATTTACCAGAAGGAAGTCAAAGATAAATCCAGAAAAGAACAAGAGCAAGAAATGCAGAAAACAGTGTGTTTTACAGTAAACTGATGGGCTACAATCATAAAGCTCCCCTTATAGTTGGAATTGAGTATTATTTTCATTAACCCTCAGTATTTTCATGTCAAAATCATGAGAAAAGAAAATTAAAAGCATTTTGCCATGAAAAAAAGTCAAACGGAATTAAAATGAATAGGAATGTCTTCTGGAAATATCATAAAGCTTGCAATAAACTGTTTCTTCTTACTTTCAAATCAGCCAATGCTGGAAACCAATTAATTACATGTTCTTGAAGCATAATACTTTCAGAATGTCTTTTCTGATTATTTTCATATTAACTCCATTAGAACTTAATAAGCCACCCATTTGTTTCTTGATTTTTATTCACTTACAGTTTCCTCCAAATTGCACACATTTTATTTGAATCTGATAGTGTGTTTACATAAGACATATATGTAACTGAATTTGTTAACATTTTACATTTTCATTCATTTATCATCATCTTTATGTAATTTTTTGTATTTATAGTGTGCATTATTAAAAATGTTCCATGTGTAAATAAGCCATATATCCTTCTATTTCAAATTATCATTGAATTTTCATTTGCAATTGGTACTGTAGAGGATGAGTTTTTATTTGTTCAGCCTCTTGTACTCACACCCACCTAAAAACAACAACAATAATAACAACAACAATAACAACAACCACAAAACCATTCATTGAGATGCTGGGATTTTTATGATCTTTCTTTTAATTGGAAAAGTCCTACAAATAGTAGCATAATTCTTTGATTTCTTGTCTGAATTATCAAAAATGTAAGCCAGATAGCCATATACATGGTAACAGATGCAGTGTAAATTTTTTTCACTCTTCTGTCTGAAAGTATGGAAGAGTGGGTTCTGTTGGCCAGGACTTTCCATCTCTGTTTTCATTCATTCCTTTTTCCTCTATACTCTACCTTTGCCCTCTCATGACATCAAGCATAACACAGTGCTTTACATCAATGAATTGATCAATTACTATCAAAAACTGAATTCCTTTGATGGATCTAAAATCAGTGTTACAACCTTGCAACAAACACCCATAGATAGAGCTGACAGCTGCAACATGTAAGTTCCTACACAGCCCCTCCCTGTGTGATCTCAGATATTTCAGATGATCTCTTTGATCTTCACAATTTCATTTCCAAAAATTATGGCTTCTAAAGCAATAAAATAACTAAAAATTCCTTCCACAGACTTTTCTCCTTCTATTCATGTGACTTAATGGAAATCATATTTCTTAAGTCCAAGAAGATAATTATAAGCCAGTGGCTCATACTTGTAATCCTAGCTACCCAGGAGGCTAAGATATGAGGATAGAAGTTCAAAGCCAGATGGGCCAGGAAAGTCTATGAGAGTCTTAATCTCCAAATAACCACCAAAAAGCTGGAAGTAGAGCTGTGGGTCAAGTGTACAAGTGTAGAGCACTAGCCTTGAGCAAAGAAAACCTCACAGATTCCAATATTTTGAAGCCATTCCCCAGTTCCTGGTTGTAGTCTTTTGAAACAGGCCTCTTGTGGTTCACCAATGCTTCATCTGATATCCAAAAAATTTCTGGTGTTTAGAATTAGAGTCCTAATATTCATTTGACTAAGGATCAAATTCACTAATCTGCTTATTTCCTTCTGAGGTGTTTGCTCTAATGGTGCATGTTCAATGATCTAACCCCAAAAAGCTAAGCACTAGCTATATTCAAAGCTTACTTACAAAAAGGGTTCATTGGACATGAGCCAGAATGTAAGCTATAGTACTCAACATCTTCAAACCTGCTCTTTAGAAACAGATACAGATTTAAGCTCAGCATTAATTCTTTGCTTGATTCTTCTTAGTGCTGCAGAAAAATAGTGGTAGATGCTACCACTGGGAAACATTCCACTTCCACCTCTGTCTCTATCTGTGCCTATACTTACCTCTAGATCTCTCTAGAAATGTTGGGTTTACATGTTTCCCATCTTGAACTCTTATCTATTTCTTCCAAAGAAAGAGTTATCTAAACTAAACCCCTTCCATAAATAAAGCCTCTCTGATTTTGTTTTATGATCACTTTTTATGCTGAAAACTAAATTCTGCACTCACGGGATTTTAGTCATTCTCACCAAGTGATTAAATACTTAAAACTCAGATATTTAAGCTTTGAACCTTTCCCTGCAGTTTGTCAGTGGGTTCTGGGTTCAAGAACTTTCTAGATTTGGGACTGAAGCCAAAGGAATCTGAGTACTTATAAAGGCTTTCTTATGTTTTGACATTTGAGAACTACTTTTTTAAAGTGAAATTTAATTTCACAATAAACGTATATCTTTGGGGCACACTGAAGACATCAAGGTAGTTAGTATATCCTTCAAAACTACAATGGAATAAGGATATATTTAATGTACGCTTGCTATTTCCCTGCTGTCACAAATAAGAGGAGAAATAAAGAATGTGGCATATGCTATGTTCTTGATTTCCTGTTACCTTCCAGACAGAAGTAATATCAATGTAATCCTATTGCCTTATTTTTTTATTGTAACTCAAGCAAAAAAAAAATGAGATAACATACCCAAATTCTTCTCAACTACTGTATCCTGCCAGTGATAGCCAGTGCTAACTGGAATCAGCATTTTTATCAATTAAATGTTATTAAGGAATACATAATTTTTCCTTAATTCTAAGGGAATTTATACCTCTGAGTGTATTACTTCCAAGGGTTTCTATTTGGTTTCTTGGAATTTTTTAATAGTAGATGTTCGGTGCTTTTAAAATGCAGTATTTAAAAAATATTATCACATTATCCAATCAATTTTAATGACCTAGAGATAAAATATCAGATGACTTCTGTTTAAATTAGAAAGGTTGCATAGTATTGCTAAAGATGTAATGTTATTTGAGAGTTGACAAGCTCAACATTTTAGTTTTAAGTGATTATTTGAAATATTAGTCATATTTTCTTGCAACACAAAAGTGAATATAAAATAACATGTCCAAAATAAGTTTATCAGTCCACTGAAAACTGAAAAAGTCAACCACTTAACTGGCTGTAATTTACATACTTTGCCAAGCCTTCGATAATCATTGAGTTGTCAAGATTTATTCCTACTAAGTTTCAATAGTTCCTACTAAGTTTCAATTTTGCTTTCATGACATTGAAGGCCTATGGAACCCACCTCCAATTATATAAAAACGATTCTAATAAGACAACTTGCAATTTAAAGAAAACTAAAGACACATGACCATTACAGAAAAAAATGTATGTTTCTTGATAAAAAAAAATATCAAATAATAGCCATGGATCCTGAAATGATAACCTTAGGCTAATTATGTTTAATGTAAATTTTTATTTGTTACACTGATGATTCTAGACTGCAGACAACAGGTATGCCATGTTATTAATGTCAGTGTGCTTTCTCTCCAGGGATAAATCCCTTATATTTATTTACCAATGAGGGAAATAAAAACATATTTAATATAAAAATGTATAAGAAGATATAACAGTATTTAAATTTTCCAGTCCTGTTTGACATAATTACAATATTCAATATGCTGATAGGTTTATATCAGCAATTACATAATACAAATGCAAGCCATCTCAACGAAGGTTTCTTTAAAAAACAAATCCCAACAGTAGGGTTGGAGGTTGGAGATGTAGCTAATTGATACAAGGTCCTGGGTTTGATCCCAGAAACACACACATACACACACACACACACACACACACACACACACACACAATAACAGTAAAACCTAACTTCTATGTCAAAGCTACATGTGTCAGATTTGCCAGTGTATCTTCATAGTTACAATAGAAGCAACACTGGGCTTTTGATAAGTACTTGTTGAATTAACAAATCAGGATTAAAATTAATTACCTCCATGCCTGCAATTTCATTGTGAGTTTCCAAAACTTGGAACCTGTGGCTCAATGCTCCCTTAACTTTATGATGAAAACAGTGATAAAGTAATGGCCGCTTGCATTGACTAACCTGTTTGGCTTGTGTGTTTACAGGCAAATGGACACAGTTTTGTACATATGGAACATGAAAAAGCTGTTTTACTACTGAAGAGTTTCCAGAACACAGTAGACCTAGTTATTCAACGTGAGCTTACTGTCTAAATATTTTTTATAAATAGTGAAGATACGTCTAGCCAGAGCTAATGTTCAAAAATAAATTTATACATAGAAGCAAATTTTTGCCAATTGCTGGACCAATGGCAAACATTATTGCCAAGTGTATAATACTCTATGTTAGCACTGATCACCCTTGCAGATGTTAACTCTATAAATACAATGTTCATGTGGTTATGTATTAGTTTTAATTGTCAGCCTCTGGCTGTGCATTGGTGCGGTTTTGGTTCTGTTTCTGTTTTTAAACCCAATAAGTTTCTTCTCAAAGTGAATTTCATATAATTTCAGAGCACGGAAGCACACACAAGCTCTTTACAAATTCTGCTCTCCATCAGAAACACTGCCTCAAAGTTGTATATGCCTTTATATAGAAAATATGACTATAAAGAATTGTAATTCCCATAAAATATTTCTAGCACAAGGTATATGTTGGCATATATAAAAAAAGAATATAAGAGAAAAAACAATATTTTCATAAACTAAACATCTCGGATTGAGAAAGAGATCTATCTTAAAATAAGACTTTACTATATTGAATCTTTTTCAATAAAAATTACATGATATTGCCTTATGAAAGCAACTGTACATATGGTATAAAGTGTTTATATTTGGTTCCATACTCATGTGCTAAATTCTCATGATGCAGAGTGAAATATTTCATAAGTTAATCATTTATCTCTGGGACCTGAATAAAAATAGGACAAACTAATGCGTTCAATGGCTTTAGCTAATTACAATACATGCAGAGTTAAGAAACAAACTAAAGGTCATTGTAGATAAGTCTTCTTACCACAAACTTACGCAGTGAATGATGGGTGGCAGGAAATGATTGATTTCCTTCTTCCAAGTTTATGTTGACTATAAATTGTAGCCCCTGTGATTTCTTTACTTGTAAATGTAGGATTTATTTGTGTGCTGCTTTATTTAATTTGCTATTTTTAAATCAGTTTAAGGGAACTGATAAAGTTTATTATTAAGAAAGAACTGTTAGAAAGTTATGGTGGGTGATTTAAAAACTTTGGTATTTATGAAACTTCAAATATAATTTCTCAGAGCTGTGGTCTGCCTGTATTACTAATCTCAATGACTGTTTTATGGACAGAAATTAATTAAATACTTTTTTCCAAAAACTTTACAACACATATAAAACTCTGAATTCTGTCTCACTAAAATAAACATAGGTAATATAGAATTATTTCCTTTTACATTAGACCTATTTAACTCTCTGAATTTTAAAAAATCATTTTAAAATCCTTTAAAAATATTTCTCTTTATATTACTCATTAATTTGATTAAAAATTGCTTTGAATTTCCAGAATAATTTCCCAGAATTAGTAGTATGCATTCTCTCTCTTATTTCTACATAGCTGTTTTTATACAATGAATTTACTTTAGATACTAGTATTTCAAATATTCCACTAAGATTTTACAACCAAGACACATCTTGTTGTACTGGAGCTCTGAGAATAATATTTGTAAGTTAATGTTTTATGGGGACAATGAAAATATTGTATTTTTGTAGGATCTATTAAAATGAGTGTCACTTATTAGAAGTACAGTGGTATTTTTTTGACATAGAATTTGTCACTTGAAGGCAAATGATACTTCATTTTATAGATAATGCACTAATTTTGGTGTTGCTTTATGTCATGGTGACATGATAACACTATTTTATAGGCTTTCACAATTAATGATTAAATAATTGACATATTTAGTAGATTTCCCAGAAGTGACTTTTAAGTGTATTTTAAATACATTGAGAGTATCTAATGTGAAATGTCTTTCAAAGCCTAATTTTTCTTTTGGTCAAAAACATATGACATATCATGATATCCAGATTTTATAGGATGATCATCATTAATCAAGACAGAGGCCCTCACTGGCCTCACAAAATAACTTCAAGGAAAGACAAAGTCAGACCATAACTGAACTCCAGGTCATCACATCAGTTTTGTTAGTCTTTTGTGGGAGAGATAGAAAGCCAGATGTAGGACTTCCCAGCCTTTTTTCTTACATCAGGTTTCCCTATCAATCCCAAAGCATTGGGAGATGATTTTGAGATAGTCAATTGAGAGGACCATAATCCTAATGTACACCTCTACCATTCCTGATCTGACAACATTGTGTTGGCCAATGCTTTAATACTTCCTGTTCTGCAGTTCCGAAGTTAGGAAAAGAGAAAAAGGATCCCTGACCAACTGGAAAGGAAATCTTCCATGCCAAAGCACCTCATTCCCAAATATACTTACTGTGCTGCATGTTGAGAACAGGCAGGTTATAACAGACAGAGGTCTTTTCTCATTTTTAAGCTTACTCACTAAAATTACTGATAGCTTGAGAGGAAACAAATCAAATTGATTATATAGGTGACTAAAACTAGTAAGTCATTGATTTTTGAGTATCGATTTCTTTAGAATAATGGGTTTGCTGCCTTAAAGTAGAATCTGGTTCATGTTAACAACTACAAAAGATGTTAAGGGCATGACTCTTGAAAGAGAGAAAGGAAAAGAAAATGAGACAGGAAGGGAGGGAGGGAAGGAGGAAGTGAAGGAAGGAGGGAACAAGAAAAGGAGGAAAGGAGGGAGCGGGGTGGAAGGAAGGAAGGAAGGAAGGAAGGAAAGAAGGAGGGAGGGAGAGAGGGAGGGAAGGAGGGAAGGAGGGAGGGAGGGAGGGAAAAGGAAAGCAAAGGGTGCACCAGAAAGGAGTGGAATTCATGATGGCTCAAATAAACTCTACCTCTTGATTTTTACTGCCATCTTCCTGCTGAGAAAGCTTATACAATTCAGTTATGTTGCATCCGTATTAAATAATCAAAGAGATTGAAAAAGATTATAGGCAGAAGGAGCAAAAGCTGAAAATTATTAACAAAATTACAGATTTTACAAGATGAATAGCCAAGAATGGACAATGTAAACAAAAACTGTTTATCAGACTTATAATATCTTGTAGTAAAAGTATTCTTCTATTTTCAACACTCTAAGCAACATAAGTCAGCTAAACAGTAATTTCAAAATATAAGTGTATTTGTAACAAGAACTATTCAGTCAGTATGACACACACTTACAGCATAATTTGTTGCTCACTGAAGCCTATAGAAAATATATGTCCCAGTTACTTAGAATTGTAATTATATACATATCTTAGTTGTTCCTGAGCCTAACCTTGAATTATAACCTTCAGGATGCAAAACCACTTTGTAAAGGGGGTAACAAACTAATATAATTTTGCTTTTATCTTACACATGATGACACACATATCACTAATATACTTGTTTGCTTAAAAGTATGGTTGAAAAAAAGAGAAATATATTTTGCCATGTGAGATGAAGTTAGAGAAGATTCAGAGGCAAGAAAATAAAAAGTGTCTGAATTGTCCAAAATGATTAGAGAAGAAACCAGAAAAAGAAGTAGATAATATACTTACTATTAATCTCTACAACAATTTATAGCTTTAGAAAATTGCCAGCTTGTCTTTTAATTTGCTTTCAATACTATCCTTGATCAATTTCTGCCACTCCTTGACACTTAGATCAGGAATATCTGTTCTGATGAATACTCTTATTAGGAGACAAGAGTATAACCCAACCAGATAAAAATCCATCCTGCTGTAGTACTACCATTCTAAGTCTTTGGTCAATTCAGACAACACATTTAATACCTTACACACTGACAAAATAGCAGGTTTGTCGGAACACTAGATCAACAAAAAGTTTAAAGTTAAGCCGGAGCTTTGACTCAGTGGTAGAATGCCTTTTGGGCAAGCCCGAAGTCCTGGGTTCAAATCCCAGAAGAAAAAAAAGAGTAAACACTTATGCAAATAATGAAATCCAACAGGTTAGCAAAATGAGTCCTTTAGTGTAAATAAAAGCAGGATTGAGGATCCAGTAGAGGTCATCTCACAGAAATGCTAAATCTTCCCAAGGCTTAACAAAAATATTCAGACGCCAAAGTCCCATGGGTGTAGTTACTTGGAATTAGGGTGAAATTCCCAAACCCAAGACCACCTGCACTGAGTTTTTTTCCTTAGCAATACAACTACTTTCTATTATGTATAGGAATATTTCTCTGTCACTCAGAAAGACTATGCCCTAAAGAACACATTACAAGCCAGGCTCCAGATGGCTCTCATCTGTAATCCTAGCTACTCAGGAAGCTGAGATGTGAGGATCAAGGTTTGAGGCCATCCAGAAAAGTCCATGAGCCTCTTATCTCCAATTAATCACACACAAAAAAAATTCTGAAAGTGGAGCTGTGGCTCAAGTGGTAGAGCACTAGCCTTGAGTGAAAAACTCAAGGACAGTGCCCGTGTCCTAAATTGATGCCCCAGGACAGGCACAAAAAATAAATACACAAATAAAGACATAAATTACAGCAAGAAAATAGAATGGAGGCTGTAGAAAAGGGATGTGTACTATGAAAAGCACACTCGTGTGAGTTACTATTCGAGGAGATCCCAGTATCTGCTGTCTTATGCATCGTTTAATTTCCATTGGTATCTACACTATTCAAAGGGTATCTTCTTTGCCAAGATACTCCCACCATACAATAACTAAGACAGATACAGTTAAAGATTTTCAGTTATGTCCTGAAACTTCTGGGGCATTTCTATGTTTTGCACACAACACTGACCTCTTGTCACTGCTGCTGTTACTGCTAGAGGTCTTTTCCTCCAGCTCCCACGGTATCTGAGGGCATTAGATGCTGCTGCGATCCTGCTGAAGCAAGCATTGACCTTCCCTTTTAGAGCTCGAGCTGTCAGAAACTCTTGAGGGTCAACTGATACTTCGAGCTTCCCCTTTGGGAGGAGCTTTTTTACAGGATCAAGGATCTGTGAGTAGTAGCATAAACCAAGGCTCTAAGGCACAGCCCTCACTGTCACTAACAGCAGCATATACCGGCGCATGCCAGTATATGAGCCCTAATAGAGCTTAATAGAGCCCTAATTCTTCTTCTAGTTATCATTTCATTTTTAATCTCTATTGTTTGAATGTCGGGTTGTGTTACATTTCCATATGGCGGGACTTTCTCTGAGCCACTCAGCTACTTTATGAGGACAAAAATCTGTTCTTTTTCACCTTTCACGCTATTGAAAAGAGATCGACTTTCCAAACACTGTCCCGAGGGAATGCAAACTCCTTACCTTGTACCTTGCAGAATTCAGGGGGTTATGCAAGAGTAAGGGGAAAAGTCAGTTCTTACTTTATTTTAAAACACACAGTGAAAAGGGAGGATGGGGCAAGTCCCCTGGACTGTTAACTGTGTGATTATCTTAATTCACCCTCAGAGCAGTTCTCCGGGAAATAAGAAGGCCTGAGAGGGGGGAAATCACTTACTGATTCAGACATTTTTTTTCAGCAGAGGAGAAGTCCTAGCCCTTGCTCTTGGTAGTAACACACTGAGTTCTGAGCAAGGGAGGAAAGGGGCCTTGGGCTACCTGTGCACAAATGGCAATGGCATGGACAGCTTGATTTCTCTCCTCTACCATATGCCCTGTTTAGGCCTGAGTTTGTTCATGGGAGCACCTCAAAGCTCAAAGGTTAAGAAATTCAAGCAGTGTTTGCGTAGAAAGTATAAAAATACTGTGGCTCTTTTAGTCTGGGACTGGAACCACTAAAGGCCTGTCCAAAACAGACAGCTGTGGGTCAAATGGCCACATATGAGATTTTTCAGACTTACTTTTTGTTTTTTGAAAAGACTCATTTTCATTCTTTATACTAGTATAATTTTCAATAGGCATAAGAATTGGTGCTGAGGAAAAACAAAAGTGAAATGGAGCATCCTAGATTTCCTTAGGTTTGAAAGTACTTTTTTCTATGGCTGTTAGGATAAAATGTCTAACACGGTGCTTCTATCTCTGTCTACCTACCAAAAGAAATATTTTGAAGAAGGACTTTTAAATTGATCAGCAAACTTCTGTGTTTACTTCACAGGAAAACAGTGTTGCTGAATCTCAGAAGCCTAAAGTATGTTTTTCATAAATTTAAAACAGGTCCAGGCACTTGCAGTTCATGCCTGGGATCCTAGCTAATCAGGAGGCTGAGATCTGAGGCTCACAGTTTGAAACCATCCCAGACAAACTTCTGTTAAGACTCTTATCTCTAATTCATCACCAAAAAGCCACAAGTAGAGCTATGGCTCAAGTAATAGGGTGTCAGTCTTGAGTGAAGAAACTCAGGGCCAGTGCCCAGACCCTGAGTTCAAATTCCAGGACCCCACTACACACACACACACACACACACACACACATTCAAAGCACTTCAAAATGTAATAAAAATGCAATGATTACAAATTTTATATTTGTTGAGCATCAACTAAATATCAGGTACTTCGGGGGATATGATGTAATCTCTTCTGCACAGAAGCTCACACTCAAGTGGGAAGAAATTCCAGAGATTGCAAGACAATGCGGTGAGTGCCTTTGTTCCTGCCCTTAATTCATCCTATGATAAAAAAGGAAATAGCAGTTTTATCTTGTCAACAGAAACCAAGACAGAGACAGAGAGAGATTGAAACTACAGGTTTCTCATAGGTCTCTCTACTGTGTCCCTTGGGTGGCCATTATGAATGCTGTGTGGATTTGGGGAAACATTTGACAGGCTAGACATGGTCAGGGAGAATAACATTCTGGACAAGATGCATAAAAACCAGAAGCCCTTGGGTCTCTGGAAGAGGGGCTATAATTCTGCCAGCTAGTTCTAAAACAGTAAAGGAATGCAATGAATCATGGTAGCTATCAACCTCATCCTGCACTACCTGTGTGCCCCTGGAATGATAGGAAACAGAATTAGAATCCAACACGCTAGCTAACGGGGTGTTAAAGAATTCTTCTACGTTAGGTGCCCCCAAAAGGCCAGCCCTGTGAACACTGCCTCAACATTAGCGAAGGTTAGAAATCCATGTGGTCCAATATGAGAAGGAGGAAGCAGTCAGAAATGCCATGAGTTGGATAGTCATCAGCTGGTTGCCTTTTGTAGTCTTTCTTTCACTTGTGTGTTGAAGAATATTTCACTGCATGCTGTTCAACTATTCCCATGGTGGGCGGTGGGGAGCCCTGCTTATTTAAAGTTGAATTACACCTACCCACCTATCATAAACATCTATTTATTCTTACAAGAAGTTGGTCCACTGGTTTGAGGAATTGTTTTACCTCAATGTTTTCAATCAATATTCTCCCTGTTCTTTTGAAACCTTTGCCTACATTGTTGTGTCTCTTAGCAAGCCTACCTCCTTCTTCCTTTTCTAAGTTATCAAAATCAAAGACTGCAGAGTCTAGCTTCAACAGCACTTAACAGCCATGAGACCCTTCCCTAATCTGAGTGTGTGTGTGTGTGTGTGTGTGTGTGTGTGTGTGTGTGTGTGTGTGTGTGTGTGTGTGTACCACAGCTTGAACTCCGGGCCTCATGCTATCATTCAGCTTTCTCACTCACAGCCGATGCTCTACCACTTGAGCCACTCCTCCCATCCAACATTTTGCTGGCTCATTGGAGGTAGAGTCTCCAGGACTTTTCTGCTCAGGCTGACTTTGAACTGAGAACCTAGATCTCCGTTTCCTGAGTAGCTAGAATTACAGGTATGAGCCACTGATATCTGGTTCTTCCTTAATCTTAATGAGAAGTGATTTCTCTTTTCTAATACTATAATTGTATACTTCATAGTATCTTCACTTTCTGCCTGAGAGCATGGCTATTTAGTGTTTTTACTTCTCTTCTATGAACTGTAAAGTTATTGAAAAAGACAATATTTCTGGGTAGAAGAGTTTTCGAGGGCACAGCTGTTTCTATTTGCTAGTAATCCTTAATGCCTGTCTTAGTGTCAGCAGTGTAGTGGGGGCTCAATAAATATTTGTGCAATGATTAAATGGAAGACAGGCCTGGCAAGTAAATGTACTTAATAAATATTGAATTAACAGGTAATTCAAGTTCAATTTCTGTAACCTTAAACCAGGAACCTTTTGCCTTCTCAGCTGAATTACTATTCCCCTTTTTGTTAGAAAGGAGCGAGAGAACAGCAGGAAGGAAGGAAAGAAGGATGGAAGGAAGGAAGGAAAGTTATTTTAATCTCATCCTCCCTTCCTTGACATTTCTTCTAAAAGCTTTCGGCTTCTTGTGCTGTTCCAGCAGTTATGTTTCATTTCCCTTTTATGTGTTTTAAGACCTTAACACTGGCCAAAACATTTACAGAATTTTGTTCAGTTAATTGTAACATACCATAGCTATCCTTTTGATTTGTTTGGGTTTTATTTCTCTTCTGGAAAGAAGTCATGCCTTTACCTGTCAGAAATATCTCAGAGAGATAAATGCATGAAGTTGAACTCACGAAGCCTTGTATTTTGGAATCTTAGAGATAAATAAGCCCTGTTTGTTCATCCTACAAGACACTCCCAAAGCCCCAAAGCAGACTGAACTAAGGAGATGACAGCCCGAGGCTTTGTCTGGCTTTACACGTCTTTGAAAGATTCTGTTTAGCTGCACATGGTAACCTGGAATTTTGCTCGAGCTACTTCTACGATGTGGAGCTGAGAGGAAGTGGGAAGGTGATGACCAAAGAAACAGGGGTAAGGTCATCCACAGGAGGAGCTCCCGTCCACTTCTAGCTCTAGCTTTTAATTTCTGCCTTATGCCACCTGTTGTAAAGAAGAGACGAGTCCCTCCACAGGCCTTTGGCTGCTTTTCTTTATGCTGGCATCTGTGCCTGGCTTTCTGGTGGCATTTTGTGGATTCATCTTATCTACTGCATTCCTAAAATGAAATGTCATGTATTCCAGTGAAAGTTCTTAGGCCACTGCAAAGCTACAGAATTGGTATGATTAGAGATGAGTGTTGCATACATAGAACCACCCCGGTAGTAGGGCACATGCTTAGGATGAGTGAGGACCTGCATTCTATCCCTGGTATTTAAAAAAAAAAAGTTGGTATGATTAACTATTCAGATAGACCACACACACACACACACACACACACACACACACACACACACACAACCCAAGGCTAAACTTTGATCAAATTGTATTCTCCCTCCCAAATTTTTGTAGAGATCTGAATATAGCCTATGAACCTCAAAGGAAAAAGAAATGCTGTTGTTTGTACTGCCACAAACTTGGCTTTATTAGATTCTTCCTTGTAGAGACAGGGGGAAGAAAGGAATGCAATACTTTAAAAGAAAAAATAATCTAAGAGAGAATAGTCCAGCTTGATGGGCGCCTCCCCACAATCCCTTTATTACTTCATGGGTCCTTGATTTCATCATAAGTAAAACTCTCAAATATTTCTCATGTGTCTTAAATTTAGGTTTCATAGTGACTTGATTATAGAATTGAGTAGACTATTCCCAAACATGATTCCTTTATGTCATCTACTATGTTGCTTACACTGTTGATTGCTCCCATTCGGCCTTTGGTTTTTAAATTATTACAGTGAAAACTTGCTAACTGTCTCTGTTGGCTAAGTACGTCTTTTTTTTCCCCACAAGAAACTTCTGATTTTTAAAACATTTAGAGATAATTAGTCCACCTGGAAGGAAACTGGCAACAGTGGTTTCTTTGATACTCTTGAGGCCTCAAACTATCCAGACTATCTACTAAAACCATCTACTGTTTGGTCCAATAGCCTGGTGTCTGCATGTTCACATAAGGGAAAGAAGGTCAGTATCTGTGTGAACAAAACAATGATATGAAAGATTGAAAAGGAAAAGTGAAATATTGAGTGATTCCATT